CAAGTTGGCCTTGACCTTATTTATTTATTTATTTATTTATTTATTTATTTGGTATAGGGAATCGAGTTAAGGGTCTTGCCTTTCCCAGGCAGGCGCTGTACCACTGAGCTATGTGTCTGACTCCATGGCCTGAACTCTGCAATCTTCCTGCCTGGGCCTCCCAAGTGCTGGGATTACCGGCCGGCGTGTTCCACTGCACCAGCTAGGAGTGAGGCAATAATCCCTCCGGGCTTGTTCACGGCACCTCCAGTGGCCAGAACAGGGGCGGACAATACCGATCGCAGGCGTTTTCCCCCAAACCCTATCCACCCGATATCCCTTGCTCCGGTGCAGCAGCTCCAGATGGGCACCAGGACGCATCCCTGCGCCCATTTCACACGAGGTGCGCCCCCGAGGCGCACCCAAATTCACCAGGCAGGATTGTCATTAGAAGTCGGCCGGTGGCCCGGCAGGAGGCGCCCCACGGACCGGGTCCCCCAGTGCTTTCGATTTGTCCCTGGCCCCCGCCCCGCCCGCCGGCCCCGCCCCGCCCCGCGCTGCTAGCTTCCTCCGGGCGGGCGAGGGCACTGGGCGCGCAGCGGCCAGAGTGGAGCGCGGTGGCGGCGGCGCGATGGTGAGGACCGGGCAGGGCGTGCGGGTGGGGTCGGGCGTCCTACTGGGCTGACGGGCAAGGCAACAGCGGCCGGAGCGGCAGGAGCAGGACCCGGGCCAGCCCTCTGCCCCGGAGCTGGAGGCAGCGGTGCGCACCCCGTCGGGCTGCGCGAAGTTGCCGCTTCCCACGGGCTGCCTGGTCGCCGGCACCAGCTTTAGAGCCAGACTCTGGGCTGTGATCCGGGCTCCGTGACCCCGGGCGAGTCATTTAACCTCCCTGACCTCCTTTTCCGCACCTTGAAGTGGGGTCAACAATACCTGCCTGATGCCGCGCGTTCGAGGTTAAGAATCCCCTGGGGAACCTCTAAGCGCTGGGAACCCCCTGCTAAGAAGTGGTGCGAATGAGGTGACCTCACAGTCTTTCCCGAGCTGAGGGCCAGGCTTGGCCTGGGAGCTGCAACCTGAGCAGAGGCGGCGGCAGGGGCCACTGCAGCGCACGGCGGCACTGGAGGGCGACAGAAACTTGTTGACTAAAAGTTCCACTGTGGCTACCAGACTGTGGCAAAGGCCTGGCCCCTACTGACCCCCACCTAGCGCATATTCCTGAGTTGAGTCACCCAGGCTCCTGCTGCAGACTCTGCTCTGTCCTCACAAGACACCTCCAAGGCAAAAGTGTTGAGGACAGCTGCTGCCGCCTCTCCTCTCTGCCCAGGCTCCTGGGAAGAGGGGCCAGGCAGCATCCGACTTGGGGATCTGGGGTTCTGCTGTGGCAAGGCTGGCTACGGTGTGATGGATGCGCCCGGCTAGGGGTCGTGGTGCTGGTCATCCTCCTCCCCAGGGAGTGGCAGGCAGGAAGAGGAAGCAGGGCAGGAAGGTAGCAGAGCGGTCTGCAGCTCTGCCAGGAAACTGAGGCGTCTCAGAGCCCAGAGCTAGAGATGGGGCAGGGTGAGGGGTGGGCTTTGAGGGCCCTTCACTTTTGGGAAGGCTAAGGGCAGGATGATTTATTGGGGGCACTGGAGAACCCCTACCTCTCAAGGTACATTTGAGAGCTGGTCATAGTGACTCATGCCTATAATCCCAGCACTTGGGAGGCTGAGGCAGGAAGATCACTATGAGCTCCAAGCCAACTTGAACTATAACATGAGACCCTGTCTCAAAAAGAAAAAAAAAAAGAGGTCTATTTGAAGCAAATAATGGATCACAGGCTGGCGGGCATAGCAGCCACCCTCTTCCACCACCACCTCCCCCAGCTCTACCTTCTGTCTCTTCTCTTGCTCTTCCCCTTTTCTCAGTCCCCAGCTCTTTCCTGTCCTTCTCATTCCCTTTCTCTGCCTGGTCCTTGGCCTTCTTTTGTCTTCTTATGATTCATTTAGTCCATATAGATTCTCGGGACGCTTCTTGTGTCAGATTGGTAATGAGTGTAGGGGTTCAGAAGAGGGCAGCAATGGGAAGGACGGGTGTTGGATGAGAAATCACGTGATGCTAATCAGTCCTCTGCAAAGCTCTCATGCCTGGAGCCACAGGCCTCCCTCGGATGGACACAAGTAAAGTTAGCAGCATGAAGGGACTGGGGTACCTGGGTATGGTGATGCATGCCTGTAATCCCAGCACTCAGGAGGCTGAGGCAGGAGGATCATTGTGTTTGAGACCAGCTTGGACTACAAAATGAGCTCAAGGCCAGAGCTGCATAGGGAGACCCTGTCTCAAACAGCAAAAAAAAAAAAAAAAAAAAGGCTGAGGCAGCTGGGCATGGGGTGCACACCTATGACCCCAGCACTCAGGAAGCTGAGCAGGAGAGTTATAAATTCAAGCCCGGACTGGTCGACCTAGCAATTTATTAATTTATTGAGATTTTTTTTTAATTTCTATTTATTTATTTATTTATGTGTGTGTGTGTGTGTGTGTGTGTGTGTGTGTGGCCAGCTCAGCCCACCAGGGGGCGGGGCGGGCTGGCATGTGGTGCTGGGGTATTGAACCACGGTCCCTGTGCTTTGTTAAACTTGTTCCAAGTAGGTGCATTAGACCACTGAGCCATCTCTCCAGCCCCTTATTGAGATCTTGTCTCAAAAGCAAATGTCAAAAAGGGCTGGGGATGTAGCTCAGTGGGAAGGTCCTGCCTGAACTCAGGTCCCAGTACAAAAAGTAGTAACAGTAAAGGAATCCCTGGCACCTTGATGGGACGCCTGGATTTTCTGATGCACTAATGTAATGCAGATGCTGTGACGTCCCCAGGCCAAGGTTTCCTGTCAGATTGGGATAATGAGATCGTGAAAATGAAGTGAGGTCAGGTGGCTGAGTGGCGGCAGCAGGTGCTGAGGTCAGGGTCCGGGCCATTGAAAGGGGCCTGTCTTTTCAGTAGCCCGTATGCTGCATGGGACTAAACTAGATACTGGTTCTCAAAGGAGTATGGGAAGTTCTGCACTTAGGGTTAGAAACAGTAATCTCAGCACAGGGGAGACTGAGTCAGGATTTCTGTGAGTTCAAGGTCAGCCTGGGTTACATAGTTCAAAGCCAGCCTGCGCTACATACATTGAAAGATCCTGTCTCAAAACAAAACAAAAACAACAACAAAATTTAAAAGCAGTAAGGTAATTTGGATTCTATCTATAATGACAGCTCTTATTTATTAAGCATTTAGTATGTGCCAGGCATTGTGCTAAGCTTTTGTTGATAATAAATCACATAATCTTCAGCTAATATTATGAAGTGTATGAGGTGGGTATTGTTGTGGGGGCCACTTTACAGATGAGGAAGTGAAGGTCAGAAGGCCACATCCTCGTCTTAGTCACTTAGCTGGTGAATGGCAGAGGCAGGAATGGAACAGAAGGGTACAGGACAGGGCCCTGAAGGTGGCCCTAGGGAGCCCCAGGGAGAAGCCTGCACCACCCATCTTCACCTGGGAATGGAGCTCTTGGGTGGATAATTTATTAGGGTGCTAAACAGGTCTGGGATTTTAAATGGGAGAGAGGGGAGACAAATAGTTAAAACAGGGAGTTAGGGAAGTTTGGGAGGTTTTTGAGATAAGTTTTCACTAATATGTTGGCCTTGAGCTCCTGTCACCAGATGTGGTGTCACATGCCTATGATCCTAAGGCTGACTGTTACTCCCAAGGATGAGGCCACAGGTTCAAAGCCAGCCTGGGCTACATAGGGAGTTCAAAGCCAGCCAGAACCACATAGTGAGAAACCCTGTCTCAAAAAAGCAAAAGAAGAAAAAAAAGAGATCCTTCTGCCTCAGTCTCCCAGTACCTGGAACAAGAAGGATGCATCAATGCCTTGTCCAACCTCTCCCTACAAGCAGGTTTTAAGGTTTTTGTTGTTTTTGATTTGAGATGCTGGGGATTGAACCTAAGGCCTAGAAACTAAGCAAGTGCTCTACCACCAACAGGGAGTTTTCTTGCAGTACTAGGGATTGAACCTGAGATCTTTACAGTGAACTACAACCCCAGCTCCTTTTTTTTTTTTTTGTTGCAGAACCAAGGATTGAATTTAGGCCCTTGCGCTTGCCAGGGAAGCGCTTAATCCACTGAACCATTTCCCCGGTCCCCCCGATCTTTTTTATTTTGAGATATGGTCTCATTACATCTCTGAGTAACCCAGGATGGGCTCAAACATGCCATCCTCCTGCCTTAGCTTCCCAGAGTGCTGGGATTACTGGCATGTACCACCATGTCTGACTCAGCAGGGAGATTTCATTTTAATTTAGTTTTTAGTTTTATTCTTTGAGACAGGGTCTCGCTATGTAGCCCAGGCTGGCTTTGAATCACTGTGTAGCCTGGGTTGGTCTCAATCCTCCTGCCTCAGCCTTTCCAGTGCTGAGATTCTGTGTGTACGCCACCACTACACCCAGCTAGCAGGGTGATTTTTGAGAGCTGTGTTTTCAGAAAAGAAACTATGGGGCCTGGAAGAACCTGGAAGGAGATTTGTGGGTGTGTGTGTAGCTCAAGATACAGCGCTGAGCCTAAGTGGCTCTGGCTTCCATTCCCAGGCCTGGATGGGTGGTAGGGATTCAAATTTGGGTGTTGTAGGGGATTTTCTATATAAAGGGTAACAGGCTGTGGAACATTTCTTGAGCCAGGTGTGGTGGCACACGCCTGTAATTCCAGCAATCAGGTGGTGTGGGCAGGGGGCCCGCCATGCATGCATGGGGTCCAGTCTGGGCTACATAGGGACACTCTGTCTCAGAAAGAAAAGAAAAGAGAGCAAAGAAAACAAAGAAACAAAGCACTTCCTGTGGACCTGCCACCCTTTGTGTGGCAACAACCGGGCAGGCCCCTGGCAGGTCTCAGAAATGCCTCTCCCCCTCCCTGCATCCTGCCCTGGCCTGACAGCACCTCCTCATACCTCACTAATGCTGTCCACCCTCTGGCAGGTCTTTGTCCCTGCCTTTTCTAACTTGATCCAAGCCTGCCTACTACTTCTATAGAGAAATGGGCCCAAAGGGCTGCTTACTGCTCTGCTCATGGGCTCTTGTTTGTTTCTTCCCTGAAGTTAGGGTCTTCAGGCTGAGCTACACCCCTGCCTCCTGTTAATTTTATTTATTTATTTAGTCAGAGTTTTGATAAGTCACTAAATTGTCCAGGCTAGAATCAAATTTGTAATCTTCCTGCCTCAGCCTCTCAGAGCAGGGGGATCACAATGTGTGTACCATCATATTCGGCTGTTTATGTATTTATTTAGAGCCCAATCTCAGTGTTGCCCGGACTGGCTTCAAAGTCGTGATGTCTAGTCTCAGCCTCCTCCGGAGAAGCTGGAATAATAGGTGTGTACCACCACACCAGAGTTGCCTTCCACCACTGCCCAGCTCCTGTCCTCTCCTAGACTTTTAGGCTTTCTCTGTCCCCAAGCTCCTGCTACACCCTTCCCCTCTGTTGGGTCCTTCCCCGTTGGGACACAACCCTGTCTGTGCCTGGATGCCCCAACTCCAACTTATCCTTCAAGGGGTCACCCTGCTCTTCCAGTGGCAATACTCGCCATTAAAAAAAAAAAAAATTCGAAATGCCAGGTGTGGTGGCACATGCCTGTAATCCTAGCACGCAGAAAGCTGAGGCAAGAGGATCGCCGTGTGAGTTGGGGGCCAAATTGGGCTATGTAGTGACATCAGGCCCAGCCTGAACGCCATCGTGAGACCCTGTCTCAAAAGATAAAAACACAAACAAAAACTTTTCCTTGAGATGGTCTCATTATGTAGCCCAGGCTGGCCTGGAACTACCGGGTGACCCTTGTGCCTCAGCTGCTCGCCACTTGTCACCCATTGCAGTGGCACCCTCTCTGTAGGCGCCGTGGCACTCACTCTTGGCATTGCCCACTGTAACTCTTTGCTCTTGCTGTGTCACACATGTCTCTATCTCCCTAGAAACAGGCCCAGTTCATTCAGAAAATATTTCTCCCATGTCACCACCTGCCAGGCACTATGCGGAGCTGCAGGACACAGAGCAGAGTGGCCTTTGCCCTCTGGTTTCTGCCACCCCACTCTCCCTAGCACCTTATCTCCATGGCACCCTTGAGACCTGTGTGCATAGTTCATGTCCTTTTACCTCAGCTTTTGGGGGACCAGGAGGGCTGCGGCCAGGGTGGCTCTGCTCCCGCGTGCACATGTGTTCTCTGGGCCTGGGTCCAGCTTGGCCCAAGACGGGCCTGGTTTCATAGATTGCTCCAGCTTGCAGCAGGAGGCACAGCCAGCCCTCTGGGGAATGTGACCCAATGTCAACCCTTGTGTGAGAATAAGATAACAACAGCTGTAGGGCTCAGAACAGAGAAAATAACATCCGGCATTCCACCAATCTCTAGATAGGATTTTCTTTGGGCGGGGGGGAGAGGGGTACCGGGAATGGAACTCAGGACATTGTGCTTGCTAGGCAAATGCTGTGCAACTGAGGCATGTCCCCAGCCCTAGCAGTGACTTTCATGATTAATTCTTTGTCCATGCCCAAGCTGTTGCTTTGGGCTGTTGGAATGAAGGGATATTCGAAGGGTCAGATAAGACGGCATGCCTATAATCCCAGCATTTGGGTGGTTGAGGCAGGGGAATTTCTCTGAATTGAAGACCGGCCTGGACTACACAGGGAGACTTGGTCTTACTCCCATCCCCAAGGACCAAATAACAGCCTTGTTGAATGGACATTGTGGTAAGGATGGTCCGCTCAGGGAAAAGCAGGAATTACAGCGATTCTGTTTTTCGTTATTCCCCACCCCCAGCCTGTGGTTTGCCTGCCCCTTTCTAAGCAGGTTGTTTTTCTAGCTCATGGGTAAATATTGACCTGTTTGGGTTTCAGAGCCTGCCCCTCAAAACTCCTGCTGGGCTGGGAGCACCCAGGGAGAAATCCTTTTGAGAACAAGAGTTACTTTTGGACAGGCTATAAAGCGACTGAGCCGCTCAGCTGAGTCCTTGCTGCAGTCAGCACTGTGCTAGGATATTGGCATGGGGAGCAGGATCGTGGGGTCCATCCTGGGGATGCTGAGGACTGCGTGGGAGGCCGCCAGGAGGACTCTGGAGGAGCGTTCCTGGTGGAGTGGGAAGCAGTTTGCTGTGACCACCCCCATCCTCTCCAGCCCTTCAGTTCTTGGTTTTTGGCGGAATTCAGTCAAGTGCCAGAATGTCAGCTGGAGACAATGGCTGTGGGGCTGGCAGGAAAGGGAGCTTGGCCCATGCTCCCTGTGAGGAAGAGATAGAGCAGGCTGGGCTGTGGAGGACGTACTCATCGCCCTGCTCCTGCACCTCAGCTCGCGCCAGGCCTCAGCCACAGGGCTGTCCAGCACATGCATCCAGAGCTTTCCTTTTCTTTTTTTCCTGTTTTTTGTTTTTGTTTTGGTATCACAGATTGAACCCAAAAATCTCTGCACTAAGCTCTGCCCCTAGCCCTTTTCCATTTTTTATTTTTATCTTGACCCACGTGTAGTGGTGAGACCCTGTCTCAAAACAACAACAACAACAACAACAACAACAACAACAACAACAACAAATAAATTTAAGAAGGGCTGCCCGGGGCTGGGGATATAGCTCAGTAGAATAAGCGCTTCCCTGGCAAGTGCAAGGGCCTGAGTTCAATCCCCAGTTCTGCCAAAAAAAAAAAAAAAAAAGAAAAAAAAAAAAAGCTGGTGAGATGGCTCAGTGGTCTAAAGCACCTACTTAAAACAAGCTTACCAAAGCACAGGACTGCAGTTCAATCCCCCAGCACCACATGCCAGCCAGCCCTGCCCCCTGGTGGGCTGAGCTGGCCACACACACACACACACACACACACACACACACACACACACGCATACATAAATAAATAAATAATTTAAAAAAAAAGAAGGGCTGCCCATGTAAGCTCAGTGTGAAGAAGACCTTGGGTTCAATCCCCAGTCCGTACTGGGGGGTGTGCGGAGGGTTGAGACAAGTTCTCACTAAATCATTAGGTTGCCCAGGTAGGGCTCAATCTTCCTGCCTCAGCCTCCCAGAGTGCTGGGATTACATCATGTGTACCACACACCTCCCAAGCCTCTGATTTTCTCACAAACCTTTCTCCCTCTTCCCTGTGCTTTCCCCTTTTCCAGCTTGGACCCTACCCTTCCTTTCCCAGTCCCCTAAAAGGGGCTGGGTGTTTTAGGTGAAGATGCTGCCTAGCCTGGGAATCCCATGGGTGGGTCTTACCTGGATGAGTCGACCCAAACTGGGGAAGACTGGCTCATCGGGAGGCTGGACCCAGAGCTCCAGGAGGGGCGTGACTGTGGGTACTGCTGGCTGGGCCAGGAGGCAGAACTGGCCTGACTGGTCAGGGGCCAAGGAGGGGAATCTGAAGTTCAGGAGGAGCAGGTAGGCAGAGACTGTGGTATGAACTGGCCCAGAGTGCCTCTTGAGCCCTGCGGAGTGGCTGTCCCTGTCTGGCCTCCAGGTGTACCCTGGGTAGGGGCCGTCCTGAAGCCATGCAAGCTGGTGTAAGCTTTATAGGAGGGTGGGGTCCTGGGCAGCTCAGAGGACGCTGAGATGCTGGAAGCCAGAGCTGATTTCCTCCCCTCGTTGGTGGGTAAGAGGAGCAGCCAGGGAAACCAAAGGGGAGCCCCAGTCACCTGGAGCGCCAGCCCTTTATCCTACACATAGCAGTGTGTCCTGGCCAGGAGGATGCTGTCACCAAATGCCATCACTGGGCACAGTGGGGGCAGAGGAGCTGGAGGTCTGGTGAGGGCTGGGTCAGGTCCCAGGCAGCCCTGACCTTGGGCTTGATGCCCAGGCAGGGAAGGAGCTGGAGCGATGCCAGCAGCAGGCCAACGAGGTGACGGAAATAATGCTCAACAACTTCGACAAAGTCCTGGAGCGTGACGGAAAGCTGGCGGAGCTGGAGCAGCGATCAGACCAACTCCTGGACATGGTGTGAGGCCCGGGAGCAGGGAGGAGGGGGAGAGGCTTGGGAGATCCTCAGAGGGAGCTCTTGGTCCTGCTTAGGATCTGCAGGCTCTAGGCGGGTAGAAGGGCTATTGGAGGGCCAGCGCAGAGGGCCTCTGGGTTTTTGGAAGCAGGGCTGAGGTCAAGGGCTGTGTGAGGGTCTTGAGCAGCAGTCAGACTCAAGTGTCCCAGGACAGCTTGTGTGGAGAGAGAGGGCAGGATGGGGAAGTGGCAGGACCAGGACCTGCTGGGATGTGGTTGGGAGGAGCAGGCTCTGAGGCCCTGAGGGGCCTGCTAACTCACACCCTGTGTCTGGGGCATCCACAGAGTTCTGCCTTCAGCAAGACAACCAAGACTCTGGCCCAGAAGAAGCGCTGGAAGAACATACGTTGCCGGGTCTACGTGGGCCTCGGGGTGGCCGCCTGTCTCCTCATCCTCCTGATTGTGCTGCTGGTCATCTTCCTCCCAAGGAACAGCAAGGACAGTGGGGCCCCATAGGCCCAGGACTCAGGCATGGCCTTTAGGCCTGGGACTGACCCAGCTGGGCCCAGGTGGAGAGGCCTGGTGGTCACAATAGCCAGCTCTGGTCTCTGGAGAACCCTGGCATTTGCTCTCGATGGGCCCACCCCAGTGAGCACTGAAGGGCAGCTGCAATGTGTGTGCCTGTGTGTCCCCGGCATGCCACAGACTGGCCCTGGAGGGCAGCCCGCTGAGGTTGCGCCTGACCAGCCCCACCGGGAGTTCAGTAAAAGCTGCTATTTGGTTCAAAGCTCATGCTATGTGTCTCAGACTCCACTCCACCTCCGCCCCACTAAGTGGCCACTTCTTTTCTCTTCTCTGTTTGTACTAACCCAACACAGGCTGCCCCGTCCAGGAGTGTGGGTGCAGAAACAGTCCCCAGACCAGCCCCTTGAGCCTGCTTCCCTGAAAGTGAAACTTACTTTTGATCTCCTGGGGTGCTCAGGAGATCAATGAGACGCTAGATGGGAGGGCAAAGAAAAGCTCAGAGATGTTTCCCTGAAGCTCTTACTTTCAGATGGGCTGCTCCCTCTGACAGGTCTCCCGCTACAGCTTCTCAGCTTGTTCTGTGTTCCCCCTTAAGCTCCATAAGAGAGTGCAAATGTGGCACGTGGAGTGAAAACAAGGAGACTTATATGCAGTCAGCCCTGCAGTAAGTTATCATGCATGGTCACAAAGATTGGTCCTGCAGGAAAGAACTCAGGCTTTTCAGTGTCCTGGGCCACTTGGCCGGGCAGCCAGTGCCTTCAGGGTCACAGGGCAAGGGCATGATAGGAGCAAAGAAAGCAGCAAGCCCAGCCCATGTGAGTAGAACAGCCTCTGTCTTGGCTATTTAACTGTAGCTCAAACTCAAGTGGGAGTGGCAAGGGGAATTCCGGGTTGTGTGTGCAATAAGCAGATTCTTGCTAGCTACAGAAAGAAACAAGAACAATCTATGAGAGTTCTGTGGAATTGTACTCTACATAGTCTATTACTTTTTCTTTCTTTCTTTTTTTTTCTTTTTTTTGCGGAACCAGGAATTGAACTCAGGGCCTTGAACTTGCCAGGCAAGCACTTATTCTACTGAGCTATTTTCCTGGCCCCTTTCTTTTCTTTTTTCTTTTTTTTTTTTTTTTTGAGATAGGGTCTCACTATGCAGCCTAGGCTGGCCTGGAACTCACTGCAGTCCTCCTGCCTCAGCCTCCCGAGTGCTGCGATCACAGGTGTGCACTCTGTTACTTTTCTTAGGCTTATTACTATCCTGTCCTGTGAAAGACTGAGGAAGGCTCTCAGCCCCTCAGTCAGCAGCACCACTTCTGTTTTTTTTTTTGGGCAGAACCGGGGATTGAACTCAGGCCCTTGCACTTGCCAGGCAAGTGCTTATTCTACTGAGCCATTTCCCCAGCCCCAACGGCACCACTTCTAGGCTGCGTCAGTCTCACGTTTTGCACACATCACAAGGGCTCTGGGTTGTAGCCGGTTGTTAGCACAGTGCTGTGAGACCCCAGCTTTGAGGTGGGAGGGTGAGCAATGGGTCAGGATGCTTAGCTCCCAGGACTCCGGGACTGCTGTGAGGATTACTGACACCAAGTATATCCATCTATCAAAGTAAACCGGGCCGGAGAGATAGCTCAGTGGAATAAGCACTTGCCTGGCAAACTGAAGGACCTGAGTTCAATCCCGGGTTCGGGAGGGGGGGGGGAAGTAAACTGTAGCACAGTGATTCTCAGCCCTGTCTCACATTACAATCACGTCCAGACTTTATACATGCCTATGATCCCAGCCTCAAAAAACTAAACCAAAAACAATAAAGAAATAAAAGCCTGGGGATGTAACTCAGTGCGAAGGCCCTGGGTTCAATCCTCAGTAACAAAGCAGTAGTTTTCCAGCAACTGGCACCGAGGTCACAGTTCCAGGAGCTGATGAGGCCTCAAATTGTCTCTGGGTTAGGTATGCTTGACCCACCCATTTATCTTACGCCAAACGCAGAAGACAACCAGGAATTCCCTGCCCCGAGGGCAGGGGCAGAATCACTTGTAAACTGTGAACCCAACTAGAGGGCATCAGGGCAGAAGGGCCAGGCGGCTCTCTGCAGCGTAGCTGGAAGCGCCCTCGAGGCCAGGCTCGAGAATGCTCAGAAAGGACCATTCATGTGGTTTTCCCCGCAGCCCCGCCCCGCTGGATAGGTCTCTAGCACCGGAAGACCTTGGGATACCTGAAATCCTTATCAGCCCAGACACTGGCTTCTCGGGGAACTACTGAGCGGCCAAACCATAAACCCCCGAAATTTACTTTTCTCGGACTCCAACGACTTTTAGGCTTTGATCGCTTGACCTTATGCGACCAATAGGAGGCGGCAGAATCAGTACTTCCGCTTTCGTGCCTTCAGCAACCCACTACGCCGGCCCTCGAACACTCTTATTGGGCTTACTCTCCCAGCTTGCCAGCTCATTGGCTAGCGCTGTCAGGCCGCAATCTAGAGTCGGAGGGCTGGGTCGGTCCGGCAGCCGGGCAGCCATGGCGTCTTATTTCGATGAACACGACTGTGAGCTATCAGACCATGAGCACGAGACCGGATTCAATATGCTGCTGCAGCTCGCGAGGTGGGTGTGGGAAGCTCGGGGCGGGGGCCTAAACTGATGTCTAGGTTTTTGGTCTGGAGCTGACTGGGGAAGGCGGATTATGTGGGGCAGCAGTGGATTCTGGGGAGGATGAATGAATGATCTGGACTGTTAGGTGGGGTGTCGATAGCTTGGGTCCTCCTTGGCAGGGCCGGGCAAAGGACCGTGAGCTAGAGAGGTGGGCGTGGAGGAGGGCAGCAGCTCGGGGAGGCACCGAGGTGGGTCACGTTGGTTTAGGCCTACGCTCCTATGAACAGCAAGCATGCAGGCCCACTGGTGACTCCAAAGCAACTTTATCAGGCCTTTCCTATTTAGCCTGAGTCACTTCCTTGACCTGTTGCCTCGTGTGTAAAATGAAAATAAACAGCCTTGGAGCTGAGTTGTTTGGTAAGAGCTATAAAGCATTTCACATTGTCCTCTTTCATCTAATGAGTTTCTACCTAAGTACTAAGGATAGTTGTTACTAGTAGCAGGGCAGGGTGTTTATTAATGGAGATATGGGGCAAAGAGCAAGTGCCATTTTCTTTGGCTCTGACATGGCATCTTTTTTCCCAGATCACTGTCCAACATGATGGATTTTCAAGACCTGGGATTGGTAGTAGACTGGGATCACCAGCTGCCTCCCCCCGCCGCCAAAGCTGTGGTTGAGAACCTCCCCAGGACAGTTATCAGCAGCTCTCAGGCTGGTGAGGACAACTAATTCCTTCTGCCGTTGGAAGCAAGTCTGCCAGACTCACCTTTCCCCCCAGACCAGAGTAGTTTTGCAGGCCAGGTTGGGGCACGAGTACCACTATGGAGTGGGAGCCGGGGACGGGTGGCGGAGGGCTGTGGCTGCTCTAATTGGTGATCCCTTCTCAAGACCTCAAGTGTCCCGTGTGTCTTTTGGAATTTGAGGAGGAGGAGACTGTCATTGAGATGCCTTGCCATCACCTCTTCCACTCCAACTGCATCCTGCCCTGGCTTAGCAAGGTAAGAATTTCTTTCTTCCAGTCCTCCTCCTTTTCTGGGGCCCAGTTTTCAGGCTTCTCTCAGATTACAGGATTGTTCCGGGGCTTAAAGAAAGGCAGTAGAGGGGGGAAGTGGAGGCAGGGAGGAACGATTGGCGTGGGCCAGACCCAGGTGGAACACAGACCTACATTTCAGACCAATTCCTGCCCCCTCTGCCGCTATGAGCTGCCTACTGATGACGACGCTTACGAGGAGCACAGACGAGATCAGGTAGGAGCCAACACGGTGTGCTCACTTTGCAGCTCGGCAACCTTGGGGAAGCCTCTGAACCCCCGACTTGGCCACCTTCCCAGTGATTATGGCCAGGACGAGTGCCTTGGCATTGTGGATGCCGAGACCCGGCCCTGTGACAGCTGCCCCTCCCCGTCCCCGACAAGTCTTCCGATTGGCCCTGCCCAGTGTTCTCTCCTCCAGGCTCGAAAGCAGCAGCAGCAGCACCGGCTGGAGAACCTCCACGGGGCCATGTACATGTGAGGCCGGCTCACTCTCACCTCTCGCGCACCTTGCATCCGTATTAAAGGTTTCTTTACCCACCCTGACGCTGCATTGCTCACGGGCAGGATGGTGCATCCTCCGCCTGGTCCCTACTACTCCTGGAGGGTAACTGCAGAAGGCATCAGTCTGCACTTTGCTCACCCTGGCCTGTCTGACTCAGGGCAATGGGACCCAGCCACTGGACCAGCCAGGACTTAGATTTGCATTCCTAGTTGGGAGGCAAACTGTCAGGGCCCAGTATGCTGTGGCTGTTGAAAGCTGAAAAAGTGGGGCCAGGGAGACAGCTCAGTGGCATTAAGCGCCTGCCTCGCATACACAAGGTCCCCAGTTCGATCCCCCGTACCTCAAAAAAACAAAAGGAAAAACCGATAAAACTGGGCCAGGGAGATGGCTCAGTAGAATAAGTGCTTCCCTGGCAAGTGCAAGGGCTTGAGTTCGATACCTGGTTCCGCAAAAAAAAAAAACAAACCAGAAAACTAACTTGCACTACCACCACCACCACCGCCTCAATTGCTAGTTAACCTTGGGACTGTTAACCTTGGACTCCTGGGGGGTTTTCTTTAGCTCTACAGAGAAGACTACTTTCAACCTTTTAAAGTTGCTCTCTGTACCACCCGCCCACCTCTTCCTGTCCTACCAAGGAATCAAAGTTCAACCTGATTCCCAGTTGGGGAAAGAAGCTAAACTATCAGGCCAGGTCAGGTCTTTCGACTGTTTGACTCACAAATGGCTTCATATTTGGACAGCACCTGGCAACTCGTTTTTTGAGACAGTTCCTGGCTTTGTACTTCAGGCTGGCCTTAAAATTCAGTGATCCTCCTGCCTCAGCCTCTTGAATGCTGAGATTAAACTCCAAGCCAAGCCCTATTCTTTAAAAAACACTGGACGCTTGGGGCTCACCCTCTGAGCAGGGGCTTCCTTCTACTACTTGCTCTGGGGAAGCCACCTTGAATCAGGCCTTCCCTGGCTCTTGAGAACTGACTACAGACATGCAAATTAGAGTTCTTTTAATAGATATAAAAAAGTACTAAAATACCCACGTGGTCCTGCTGTGTTATTTGGCCTAAAGGAAGTGAGGGGCAGAGTGAAGAATCCCAGTAGCGCAGCAGGCCCAGAAGTGAGCCTTTCCTGTAGCCAAAGGCGTGCTCCACCTATCCCCAGACTCCAATCCCTCTTGCTGTTCCCAACCCCCAATTCCTGCAACAGGAAACCCCAGTGGCCTTGCTCAGGCACTGGGGTTAAAGGCACCTGAAGGGCTGGCTGGGCAAGTGAGGAAGGTGAACTTTAACACAAAACAATACTGTGATGGGGGGAGCAGGACGGACGTGCAGCCTGCTGGGCCGGGCCTGCTCCTCTATGGCACGGGTGGATGTGGGATGGCCATTTCTCCAGGAGCGAGGAAGCCCAGATCCCAACAGAACACTTTCTGAAAATTGTTTTTGGTACAAAATAAGTGGAAAGAAGAGAAAAGGTGGGGTGCTGTGGAGGCCGGGCCAGCCACCCTCCTGACCTCAGATCATGGCAATGCTCTCGGGGGCACAGTTGAGGTGCGTGGAGGTACTGCTGCTCCCCGAGGACTTGCAGGCCCGGCCAGGGGCAGGCTGCAGTGCAGCCACTAGTGTGTCTGAGGAGACCGCCCCGAACTCGTAGCTGAAGGTACCATAGAAAATGAGGATATCGATGACAAACACCCACTCGCACAAGGCTGCCCCGTGTTGTAGAAGAGAACTCTCATGGACGAAGAAGACACCGCCTGGAGTGGGGCTAAGGAAATGTTCAGTAGGATGTACCAGAACCTGGCACCGCCTTTCTGCAGGCACAGACACTTAATGAAGCTGGGACAAAGGCTCAGGCCCCCCCAGGGAACAAAAGCCCACATGGCCAGGGTTGGCTGGAAGGCAGGGCTCATCCCACAGGGGTCTGATGAGGACTGAGCCACTAGAGGGTAAGTTCCTGGCTGCCCTGTCTTGGAAGGATACTGAGGACCAGGGTGACGAAGGCGATGACAGCCAGCACACTTCGCAGGTAGGCCACAGCCAGATCCAGCGGGGCAGTGGCCCCATGGTAGGAGAGCACACAGTGCAGGCAGACAAAGAGCAGCCCCGCGGGGAAGGCCACACCAGCTCCGACGTAGTGCAGAGACTTGGCATGGTCCACCTGGCTCAGACCAACAGTCTAATCCATAGGGTGACCCCACCCTGCACCCCTGCATCACTCCTGCTCCCTCTTCCCCCTCCCAGGCTTTCCTCAAGCTCCAGCCTGAGGGTACTATCCATGTAGTTGGCCCAGCCCTACTAGGGGGAGTTGAAGGGGAGGTGGGGGCACCTGAAAGTTGCCAACCACTACGAGGCCCGCGGCGTTGGTGCAGCCCATGATGAGCGCCGTGGTGTTAACCCAGGAGTGCCGGCTCTGCTCCAGGAGCTGCCCGTACCGCAGGAGGCAGATCAGGGCCACTGGGGGAGGAAAGCATGACTGGGGCTGGCCCAGTGCCTCCCACTGGCTGTACCTGCCCCCCAGCTTCCCACAGACTTTGCTCTCCTGCCCCTTCTGAGGGCCGGAAAGCTGGTGGTGAACTAGGTTTCCTCATGCTTGTCAGTCAGTGGCAGCTGTGTGGGAGTCAGCCTTTGAAAGGCTTTCAAGGGACAGGAGAGAAGTTGCTTTTGCCTTATCTCTTGGTGGGGAGGGCTGTGTGGAGCAAGGGTTTCCAAGCCTTCTGGGAAAAAGTCTAGGGGGTAGGTGAGGAGGGGCCAAGGGGAGAACTCACCCATGAAAGCACCCATGTTGCCAATGAGGCTGAAGAGGCAGCTCTCTGGGGGGTATGTGCCACACTTGCTGAGGGGACAGGGCAGGACAGAGTAAAGCGCAGGTGCCCCAGCGACCCCACTTTGGCCCCTATTTTATCTGTGCCTACTCCTTAGCAGGCAGTGCACTGACTTAGGAAGCAGGCCAGCGACCCCTCAGGATCTGAGCCCTCCTCCTCCCACCCCCAGCACAGCTTGTGTGTGCGAGATAACAGGTGCTGCAGTGCCCCAAGCCGAAGTCCATGTGGTTTGCCTTAAACCAGAGGCTGGCCTGGGCAATCAGTGCTCAAGCTTAAATCCAGGGGTCTCCTACTAGCTGTGGGACCTGGACGAGTAAGCCTGAACTTTTCTCTTCATCTATACAACAGTGAACACAATAGTGATCTCCCTTCTAGGAGGATTCAGACAGTGCATTTCAAGTTTTGAGGGCTTGCAAGCAATACAGCATTCGTTACTAAGTAGCTCTTCCTGGAATGATTATTCCTGGCACCTGAGGCTAGTCTTTTGGTTCTGTGCAAGTGTGACAGCCTTGGATTTCTCTGACTTGCCCAGTTTCCAGGACCTACCTGATGAGAGGGACGTCGTCCAGGGTGCAGCAGGTCTTGGGGCCCCCTTGCTCGGCAGGGTCAGGAGAGCAGGACTCGTTGTAGGACCTGGCAGGCAGGATACCGAGTAGACTCTGGGAAGGGGTTGCTTCAGGCCCTTAGCCTGTAATGTCTGTCAGGCCTCAAAGAGGCCCCTCTCCCAGACCTCCCCAGCAGGGGCACAAGTGCCCACTCCCCAGGGCCTGCCTCTTACAGAAGCCGGATGGGTGAAGGGATAGTGGGTAGTAGGTATATGGGCAGGAAGCCATGCCTGGGGACTAATGTCAGAGAAGGGCATGAGGCCTGGGGTGTCCGTCTGGGTCATGGCTGCTGAGGGCTCAAGAGAGGACAGAGATGAAGGGAGCTTTAGAGTGAGGCTGACTGTAGTGCACTCCATACCAGTTCTCCACAGGGCACACGTGGCGGTTCATCACGGCCATGGCATACCTGCAGGAGCAGAACTGTCACCCTGCCCCCATGTCCGTCCCACCCAACCACCCACCAAAGACTCCTCTGCCTGGATTTCTGCTCCTTTTCAGCCTCACTGTCCTTGCTGAGAAATGGGGGAGAGGTGTGTCTTGATGCTTTCCTTGAGCAAGTGGCATGGTCCCCCTGCCATCGTCCCCCTGGAAGTTACCCTGGCTCAAAGTAGGTCTGCCAGGGCCATTCTGCTGGGCAGCAGTGGTGCCAGCTTGTCTTAAGGGGCTGTGTGCCCAGGCACCAGGCCAGGCTGTGAAGTCAGTGGCCATGGGTACCACTTGAGCCCACCACAAGACAAGGGACTTTGTGTGTGTCCTCAGGCTCCTGTATTTACCCCCTTTACTCACACAGTCCATATGCCAGTGATGGAGAATGCTGACAGGCTGACAGGAAGGAGGATCCAGGCGGTCATGAGGGAGGGGAGCCAGGGTGGTGGTGATGTGGGGGGAGGACGAGAGGTGGGTGGGGAAGAGGGGGCGGGCCCAGCTACCTGGAGGTAGTTCAGCCACAACCATCAGCTGCCCTGGCCTGGGGGGAAAGATCAGAGTCCAGGGTCTGACCCACCAAAGGAGGGGGCAGGGAAGGTGGTCGGACACAACACCTCATCCAGAACTCCCGCTGGGTCTGGGAGGTCCAAACTTTGGATTGAGCCCGCGCCAGAACATGGACAACCCTCTGGTATCCCTTGGGGCCCTCTAGGGCCCACCCAAATGCCACCAGCAGGCTGAGGCTCCAGTGGGGCCATAACATCTGGGATGAGAGTCACCCTCCCTCCCCAGGAGACGCAGCAGCAGGAGGCTGGAGCCGGGGCAATCCATGGGGACCACGCCGAGGAAAGCCTCGGAGAGCTGGCAGGGCAGGGCGAGCGCTGGCGCGTGGGCAACCACCTGACCACGGCGCCCGGGCCAAGGGGCGGGCTCACGCGGAAAGCCCGACCTGGCCCCACTCGCGTGGGGTCGCGAATTCCGGCTTGGGCAGGAGCCTGAGGCCAGTAACCATCCCGCCATCCCTCCGACCTGAGGACCCCAGCTTCCACCGGCAATCCCTGGAGACCTAGCAAAGGAAGGAACCCATACGCACCTCTCGGGAGCACCCCGCTGCCACCGCGCCCTGCTCGGCCCCCTTGTGGCGCCGTCTTCGGCTGCGGCCCTCGCGGCAGCCCTGAAAGGTTTAAAAGGCCGAGCGGCCCCGCCCCCAGCGGCCCCCGGCCGCGCCGCGCCGCCCCGCCCCTCCCCCTCTGGCGCTCGCTTTCTGTCCGCCTCTCCCTCTCCCTCTCCCCTCGCCCCTTCCTCGGTTCGCACCTGAGCGCTCGCACCTGCCCGGCCGGCTCCTCGCCCTCCGCCCCTCCTCCCTTCCCGCCTTGGCCCGCCGGGCCGGAGGGCTCTGGCCGGGCGCGGGAGCCTCGCGGCTGCGTCACCGCGGCCCCCAGACAAGATGGACACCGCGGAGGAAGGTGAGCGGCGGCGCCGGGCCT